AACGAGAGTAGCACGGGCTACCTAGCACTGGTTATGGCAGCAGCAGAGGAGGAGAAGCCGAACGCAGAGCAACCTGTAGTAGTGAAGGAGGTCTTGGATCAAGACAAGGATATAATGCCCGATAACCTACCTCCAGCACATACCAACGAGCACGAGATCGTGGAGGAACCAGGTGCGAAACCCGTCTCACGTGCACCATACCGACTGAGTCCGATCGAACTGACAGACAAGAAGAAATAGATAGAGTATCTACTGGACAGACAACTGATCCGCCCATCCACCTCTCCCTACGGTGCACCAGTTCTCTTCACTCCAAAACCAGACGGCAGTCTACGGATGTGCATCGACTACCGTGCACTGAACAAACAGACAGTTAAAAACAAATACCCCATACCGCGCATCGACGACCTTCTGGATCAACTGCGTGATGCAACTGTCTTTTCGAAACTGGACCTACGGTCGGGTTACTGGCAGATCAAGATGGTGGACAACTCGATCCACAAGACGGCGTTCCGTACCAAATACGGCTCCTACAAATACTCGGTGATGCCGTTCGGACTCTGCAACACACCTGCAACGTTTCAGGCGGAGATGAATCACATCCTACGGCCCCTGCTAGACGAGTGCGTGGTGGTGTACCTAGACGACATTCTCATCTACTCTAAGAACATGAAGGAGCACATGGAGCATCTGCAGAAGGTGTTTGAGATCTTGCGGAAAAACAAGTTCTACGTGAAGCTGTCGAAGAGCGACCTTGCACTGAAGAAGGTGCAGTTTCTCGGGCACATGGTGAGTGCCGAGGGCGTACACGTGGACCCGCGGAAGATCGAAGCCGTCAAGAAGTGGAAAGTACCGGAGAACGTGAAGGAGTTGCAGCAGTTCCTAGGCTTCACCAACTACTACAACAGGTTTGTCCCGTAGTACGCTAAGATAGCAGCGCCACTGACCGACCTACTGAAAAAGGATACGCCCTACAAATGGGATACTCCTCATCAGCAAGCCATGGAGTAGCTACAGACAGCACTGACTACAATGCCAGTACTCATCCTACCAGATCCAGACAAGGACTACGTGGTGGAAGCAGACGCTAGTGACCAAGCAGTCGGAGCAGTACTGATGCAGGATCACGGACGCGGTTTGCAGCCCATCGCCTACCTCAGTGAGAAGCTACACGGAGCAGAATTGAACTACCCCATCCATAAGAAGGAAGCCTTAGCGATAGTCATAGCCTTCAAGGCGTAGAGGTGTTACCTAGAGGGAGCCAAGACTACAGTTTACAATGACCATTGCAGTCTGAAATACCTGAAGTAGCAGCCAACGCTCTCACGATGACAGGTGCGGTGGGTGGACTTCCTGGAAACTCACTTCCACTACGACATCGTCTACAAGCCCGGGCTACGCAACAAGGCAGACGCATTGAGCCGTCCCGGACATGTAGCAGGCATCCAGCTCGACGGGATGAACCCTCTGCTCAAGGGTATATTCCAACATGGATACTCCGTGGACGCAGAGATCGCTTCAGCACAGACTAAGAAGCTGTTACATGTGAAAATAAGTGATAGAGTAAAGGCGCCATAGCTAGGAAATACCTAGTTAGGCAAGAATAGTTTAGGCAAAAAGAGAGGGTTTCACTAGAAAGCAGCAGGATACATATAGGAAACCCTAAGGGGTTGTACTCACTATAGAGTACCCCACTGCAGGCTAGAGAACAGTAACATTCTGACACACCCCCATAGCCAAAGTGGGGTGTAATCAGCAGAGCAAGCAAAGCAGAACAAGCTCAGGGTGGATCACAATGTCACCACACATTCTGAGCACAAAGACAAGAAGCAATGGTTTAAAGTTCACAATTATGAGCAAAGCTAGAGGCTATCGCAGAGGACAAGTGAGGAGGAGGAGGCGAGACTGTAAGAGGAGAGGAGATAGGAGGCGACGACTGAAGCTGCAGACACACGGGCAATAGGAGGCACACTGGCACAGCGGCTACCGGAACAGCGCTCCGGACTACTGGAGTAACTGGCCCCGCGGCTAAAAGTAGCGGCAGACGAGCAACGGACCCACGGGCGACTGGCACAGGTGGCTACGACTGGGCTACCGGAGCAACTCCCCGGACTACAGATGCTGCTGGCGACACTACGGCAACCTCCGATCAACCTCCCCAAACAGTCCCATCCCCCTTGACACACACCCGCTGCTTCACCCCTAGCTCCACTCCCCCTTCACCCCCCCATAGTACCACTCCGACGGCTCCAACAGGTCCACCCCCCCTCAGCGGCAGCTGCAGCACTGGGAGACGGAGGAGGAGGAGGAGCAAAGAACGGCACACAGAAGTTGCACCCCCATACCCCTCACCCCCAAACCCTAATCCAAAGGAATGGGCAGAAGAAGGGGTGGGGCCCAAGAAGAGGCACGGGGAACAGCAGGTAGGGCAGGGGCAGTGAAGAAAGGGCCGCCAACGGGCCTGGTACAGGCGCCCGACCCGCGCGCAGGCGGCCCGAGCCGCGCGCGGGCCTGGCGCAGCCCGTACGGGCCGCGCGCGGGCCTGGCGCAGCCCGTACGGGCTGCGGACGGGTCTGGCGCAGCCCGTACGGGCCGCAGACGGGTCTGGCGCGGCCCGTACGTGCCGCGCGCAGGCTATACGGGCCGCGCGCAGGCCACGACGGGCGACGGGGGGCGAGGCGGAGGTCCCCGTCGCCCGTCGCAGCGCCTCCCGGGAGCGGCGCACGGCGTGACGGGGCAGAAACCCGCCGCGCGCCTCGGGGCGCACGGCGGGAAGAGAACCGCCGCGCGCCTCGGGGCGCACGGCGGGCAGAAAACCGCCGCGCGCCTCGGGGCGCACGGCGGAAAGGGAGAGTAGCAGTTGCAGCGGAAGGAGTGTGGTGGAGCCCACAGGCCAGGAGCTTACTGCTCTGATACCATGTGAAAATAAAGGATAGAGTAAAGGCGCCATAGCTAGGAAAGACCTAGCTAGGCAAGAATAGTTTAGGCAAAAAGAGAGGGTTTCACTAGAAAGCAGCAGGATACATATAGGAAACCCTAAGGGGTTGTACTCACTATAGAGTACCCCACTGCAGGCTAGAGAACAGTAAAATTCTGACATTACAGTGGGAGAAAGACTTAGCTGTAAGGAAGGGCACAGAAAAGATTACGCCCCATTACGGCAGATCCTATTGGAGGAGTTTCATGACGTACCATACGCGGCACACTTCGGGAGCAACAAAACGTTAGCGAGAATAGCGAAGTATTACTATGAAGAAATGAGGAATGAATGGAAGAGGGTTTCACTAGCAAGCAGTTGTGTACATATAGCAAACCCTAAATTGGGTTGTACTCACTATTAAGTACCCCACTGCAGGCTAGACAAACATAACATTCTGACAATTACTACTGGCCCAGGATGGCAACAGATGTGCAGCAGTTCGTCACCTCATGCGACACGTGCCAGCGGATGAAGAGCAGCAAGCAGAAAAAAGCAGGGTTACTTCAGCCTCTACCCGTACCGGAGCAGCCATGGCAGGTCGTTAGTCTCGACTTCATCACAGGACTTCCTTCGACCTCACGGGGGCACGATTCCATCCTAATAGTGATCGATAAGTTCTCCAAAATGGGTCACTTCATTCCGACCAACACCGCAGCTACAGCTGAAGCAACTGCTCGCCTCTTCTTCGACCGCATCATCGCCATCCACGGCATCCCCGCTACACTCATCTCAGACAGAGACCCCAAATTCACCAGTAAGTTCTGGAAGGAGCTCATGGGACTGTTGGGGACAAAGCTTGCAGTGTCTTCAGCATACCACCCCCAGACTGACGGACAGACAGAGCGACTCAATCAAGTGGTTGAACAATTACTGCGCACAGCTTGCAAGGACGGCGTCAGCCACTGGGAAACACAGTTACCGACCCTAGAGTTTGCTTACAACAACGCATCACATGCGGCCACAGGAAAAACTCCTTTCTTCCTGTGTTACGGACGGGAACCACTTACACCGCAACAGCCAACCACACCAGCACACGTCCAAGCCGCACATGACTTAGTCACCACCATGCAGCAACTATGAGAGAGGACTCAGCAACGACTCACCACGATGCAGACCTCCCAAAAGCAGTATGCGGATCGCCAGCGACGAGGTCACTAAGTAGCCGTCGGAGATCAGGTGCTTCTTGACACACGCAACTTGAACCTGTCTCACCTCCCACCCAAACTCCGGCCTCGCTTCTGTGGTCCTTTTCTCGTTGAGGCACAGGTGACACCAGTAACTGTGAAAATAAGAGGTGTGGGGCCTAGGCTTAGTAGCCTAGGCCCACACTAGGAGATAGGTAAGTTCGAGTGGGTTTGGTGAGAGTCGAGAAATTGGAAGGGAAGTGAAGTGACTAGCAAGAGTTGGGATACAAGTACATTGCCCTAAATTGGGTTGTACTCATTACAGAGTACCCCACTGCAGGCTAGACAGCAAATATATTCTGACACACCCCCATAGCCAAAGTGGGGTGAAATCAGCAGAGCTGGCAAAGCAGTACAAGCTCAGGGTGGATCACAATGTCACCACACATTCTGAGCACAAGTTCAAGAAGCAATAGTTAAAGTGCACAATTATCAGCAAAGCTAGTGGTGGTCACAACGGGCAGGTGAGGAGGAGGAGGGAGAGTGAGAGGAGAGGAGATGGGAGGCGACTGCTGAAGCTGCAGACACACGGGCAACAAGAGCGGCTGGCACAGTGGCTACCGGGACAGCGCCCCGGACTACTGGAGTAACTGGCTCGGCGGCTACGAAAAGCGGCAGGAGCAACGGACCCACGGGCGACAGGCGCAGCAGGCTCACTGGGCTACCAGGACAGCGCCCCGGACTACAGGTGCTGCGGACTACAAGACGGCAGCCTCCGCTCAACCTCCCACAAACAGTCCCACCCCCCTGACACACACCCGCTGCTACACCCCTAGCTCCACTCCCACGCACCCCCCTTAAACCCTAAACCCCAGTCTCCCACACAACCACCCCCCTCAGCGACAGCTGCAGCAGTGGGAGACGACGGAGGAGGAGAAGGAAGGGGCGACACAAACGGAGCACCCCCACACCCGCAAACGGGGGGGACGGGGGGGGGGGGGGGACAGTGCGCACGAGGGCGCAGATAGTAGCAGAGCGCACGGGGGCGCGAGCACGAGACACGGGCAGCAACAGGCACGGGCAGCACAGGCACGGGCAGCACAGGCACGGGCAGCACAGGCACGGGCAGCAACAGGCACAGGCAGCACAGGCACGGGCAGCACAGGCACGGGCAGCACAGGCACGGGCAGCACAGGCACGGGCAGCAACAGGCACGGGCAGCACGGGCACGGGCAGCACAGGCACGGGCAGCACAGGCACGGGCAGCACAGGCACGGGCAGCAACAGGCACGGGCAGCACAGGCACGGGCAGCAACAGGCACGGGCAGCACAGGCACGGGCAGCACAGGCACGGGCAGCAACAGGCACAGGCAGCACAGGCACGGGCAGCACAGGCACGGGCAGCACAGGCACGGGCAGCACAGGCACGGGCAGCAACAGGCACGGGCAGCACAGGCACGGGCAGCACAGGCACGGGCAGCACAGGCACGGGCAGCAACAGGCACGGGCAGCACAGGCACGGGCAGCACAGGCACGGGCAGCACAGGCACGGGCAGCACAGGCACGGGCAGCAACAGGCACGGGCAGCACAGGCACGGGCAGCACAGGCACGGGCAGCACAGGCACGGGCAGCAACAGGCACAGGCAGCACAGGCACGGGCAGCACAGGCACAGGCAGCACAGGCACGGGCAGCACAGGCACGGGCAGCACAGGCACGGGCAGCACAGGCACGGGCAGCACAGGCACGGGCAGCACAGGCATGGGCAGCACAGGCACGGGCAGCACAGGCACGGGCAGCAACAGGCACGGGCAGCAACAGGCACAGGCAGCACAGGCACGGGCAGCACAGGCACGGGCAGCACAGGCACGGGCAGCACAGGCACGGGCAGCACAAGGCGTACCGGGTCCAGGGGCGGCTTCTGGGGTCCAGGGGCGGCACCTGCAGCTGGGCGGCGGTAGCTGCTGCGGCAGAGCGGCGGCGGCTGCTGCTGCTGATAGAGCGGCGGCTGCTGCTGTAGACTCTGGCGGCGGCTGCTGCTGCAGGCTCTGGCGGCGGCTGCTGCTGCAGGCTCTGGCGGCGGCTGCTGCTGAAGACCCTGGCGGCGGCTGCTGCAGCAGGCTCTGGCGGCGGCTGCTGCTGCAGACCCTGGCGGCGGCTGCTGCTGAAGACCCTGGCGGCGGCTGCTGCTGAAGACCCTGGCGGCGGCTGCTGCAGCAGGCTCTGGCGGCGGCTGCTGCTGTAGACTCTGGCGGCGGCTGCTGCTGCAGACCCTGGCGGCGGCTGCTGCTGAAGACCCTGGCGGCGGCTGCTGCTGCAGACTCTGGCGGCGGCTGCTGCTGCAGACTCTGGCGGCGGCTGCTGCTGCAGGCTCTGGCGGCGGCTGCTGCTGCAGGCTCTGGCGGCGGCTGCTGCTGAAGACCCTGGCGGCGGCTGCTGCAGCAGGCTCTGGCGGCGGCTGCTGCTGCAGACCCTGGCGGCGGCTGCTGCTGAAGACCCTGGCGGCGGCTGCTGCTGCAGACTCTGGCGGCGGCTGCTGCTGCAGACTCTGGCGGCGGCTGCTGCTGCAGGCTCTGGCGGCGGCTGCTGCTGCAGGCTCTGGCGGCGGCTGCTGCTGAAGACCCTGGCGGCGGCTGCTGCAGCAGGCTCTGGCGGCGGCTGCTGCTGCAGACCCTGGCGGCGGCTGCTGCTGAAGACCCTGGCGGCGGCTGCTGCTGAAGACCCTGGCGGCGGCTGCTGCAGCAGGCTCTGGCGGCGGCTGCTGCTGTAGACTCTGGCGGCGGCTGCTGCTGCAGACCCTGGCGGCGGCTGCTGCTGAAGACCCTGGCGGCGGCTGCTGCTGCAGACTCTGGCGGCGGCTGCTGCTGCAGACTCTGGCGGCGGCTGCTGCTGCAGGCTCTGGCGGCGGCTGCTGCTGCAGGCTCTGGCGGCGGCTGCTGCTGCAGACCCTGGCGGCGGCTGCTGCTGAAGACCCTGGCGGCGGCTGCTGCAGCAGGCTCTGGCGGCGGCTGCTGCTGCAGACCCTGGCGGCGGCTGCTGCTGTAGGCCTGGCGGCGGCTGCTGCTGCAGGGCGGCGGCGGCTGCTGCTGCAGGAACTGACGGCGCCCCGCGGGTCCCGCATGGGGCGTCGCGACGAGCAGGGGCGACGCCCCGCGGGTCCCGCACGGACGTCGCGACGAGCAGGGGCGACGCTCCGCGGGTCCCGCACGGACGTCGCGACAAGTAGGGCGGCGCCGCGCGGGTCCCGCACGGACGTCGCGACGAGCAGGGGCGACGCCCCGCGGGTCCCGCACGGACGTCGCGACGAGCAGGGTGACGCCGCGCGGGTCCCGCACGGGCGTCGCGACGAGCAGCGGGGAGGGCAGCGCGCAGGCCCCCCGAGGGCGCTTCGAAGGACGCGAAAACCGCCGCGCGCCCCGAGCGCACGGCGGGATGAAAAACTCCGAAATCCTAAAAAAAATTTCGCCGCGCGCTCCGCGCGCGGCAGGAAGAAGGACTGCAGCGGAAGCATAGGGGCCCACAGGCCAAGGTAGAACGGGCTCTGATACCATGTGAAAATAAGAGGTGTGGGGCCTAGGCTTAGTAGCCTAGGCCCACACTAGGAGATAGGTAAGTTCGAGTGGGTTAGGTGAGAGTCGAGAAATTGGAAGGGAAGTGAAGTGACTAGCAAGAGTTGGGATACAAGTACATTGCCCTAAATTGGGTTGTACTCATTACAGAGTACCCCACTGCAGGCTAGACAGCAAATATATTCTGACAGTAACATTCCACTTGCGCTTACCAGATACGTGGAAGCTTCACAACGCTTTCCATGTTCAACTACTGAAGCCCTACAAGGACCCCAACCAACAGTTCCAGGGACGGCAAGTACCACCACCACCACCTGTTCTCATACAGGATGAACCCGAGTATAAAGTGAATCGCGTTCTCACTCATCGGCGCCGCGGCGGCAAGACCCTCGAGTTCCTGATACGCTGGAAGGGATATGACCCCACTGAGGACAGTTGGGTTGCAGAGGCTGATATGGGCAACGCAGGCCGCGCTCTCAAGGACTATCTTGTCAAGCAGGGAGTTTTTCACGCCACCCAACTTTGAAGGGGAGACGTGTGAGAGTACGACGGCTTATGCTGGCTTTGCTAGCTTGCCTAGACTTTATTATGCTATATATAGCTTGGGCTTTATTTATCATGCATAGATGTGCTTGATTTCCTAGGTTAGGTGCATTCGTATATTTTATTATAGTTATAGCACCGAACCAGGTTACATGTACCGAACTCAAGCCTATTCGGTTTCCACCGAATTGCTTTCTACTGAGTTCGGGAAGGTTCTATTCGGGGCGCTTCGCGACCCTCAGAACATTCGCACAACACCTGGGTAACTGGCCTTGTGTCGAGACTATATATAGCCTCGTGTTGTACCCAGGTGAATCATTCAATTCAAACCCACTTTTTTGAGCTCGATCCTAGATCCTCACATAGACCCTCTTCCCTTGACTTAGCCGGTTGAGGTTACTGGTGACTCAGGTCCTACAAGGGGTGGTCCTGCTCGGGGTGCTGCTTCTGGGGGTGTTGAGCCTGGGGGTGTGGAGCCTGGGGGTGCTGAGCGTGAGGGTGCGGAGCCTGGGGGTGTTGAGCGTGAGGGTGCGGAGCCTGGGGGTGCTGAGCCTGAGGGTGCGGAGCTGGAGGTGCTAAGCCTGGGCGTGAGGAGTCTGGGGGTGCTGAGCCTGGGGGTACTGCGTCTGGGGGTGCTGCGCCGGGGGGCACTGAGGCGTCTGGTGAGCAGTCTCCTTGGAGTGGCCGTCTCCGCAGTCGCTCCGCTGGTGCCTCGCCATAGCAATCTCGTCAGCGTCTCCCTCTCTCCCACAGCAGCTGTGCGAGTGGTACGTTAGCCGTCAGGGTTGCGCTGCTAGAGCTGGGGGCCCTGCTACGAGAGGCACTGGCGTTGGGAGCACTGGAGCTGGTGACTCTGCTACTGGAGGTGTTTCTACTGGAGTTCCTGGACCCACTGGTCTCGGAGGTGCTCGTACTGGAGTTACTGAAGCTGCTGGGGCTGGAGGTACGGCTGGACCTGGAGGTGTTGCTGTCGACCCTGAGGTTGGAGACCCTGGAGCTGGAGGTGCCGGTTCAGGGGGTGCTGCGGTTGGAGACACTGAGGCTGGAGATCCTGGGGCTGGAGGTGCCGGTTCTGGGGGTGCTGGCGCTGGTGGCGCTGGAGCTGGAGGTTCTGGAGCTGCTGGATGTGCACTACTGGAGATGCTGGCGCTGGAGGTTTTGGAACTACTGGAGGTGCTGGCGCAGGAGGTGCTGAAGCTACTGGTGCTGGTGGCGCTGCTCAACCGTGACTGTTCTTCGCTCCGCCGTCACCTTCGTCTGTGCCGCTGCCTGACTCCGTGCTTCGCCAGGTTCTTAGCCTCCCGTCTTCTACTGGTCTTCCATTACAGCCTGGCTCACAGCAGCCTGCTCCTTCTCCTTACACTGAGCTGACAGGTAGTCTTGGTGAGCGTCGTGAGCCTGCGTCTCGTCCTGTCTCGCCTATTCGTACTGTCCGCACTGGTCGTACTGGTCGTCGTGTTCCTCGTGAGCGTCCGCCGGCTGTCCCCGGCACACACCTCATGGCCCTACATCCTTCCTCTGCTCCGCAGCGTGTTCCCCTGCCGTCCCCTCCTGCGTATTTTCTACCTGACGTTCCAGACCCTGAGTCTGACCGCGCTCGTCCTACTCACCCTACTATCACGTGTCTGCTTTAGTCGTTGAGCTTCTTTACTTTGCTGCTGCCTGTCGTCTAGACTTCACTGCTAGTCTTGTTGCTGAGTCTGAGCCTGTCTGTCCTCCGTCCATCGGGGGTGAGTGTGCTCTTGGCACGGACGTCCTTGAGGACAGGCAGGAGGACTTTGAGTGTCTTGCAGCTGCTATACCTCATCTCGTGGTCATGCTGCTTGCCCCTGAGGGAGACCCGGATGCACCAGACATCTCGACCCCGCGCTCTTACGCAGAGGCGATTACGGGTCCCTACTCCTCTCAGTGGCAGACAACCATGGACGCAAAGATGGCATCCTGGAAGTCCACAAGCACTTACGTCGATGAGATTCCCCCTCCTGGGGCGAACATCGTCGATGGCATGTGGATTTTCAAGGTGAAGCGGCCGCCAGGTTCTCCGCCTGTCTTGAAGGCTCGTTACGTTGCACGAGGCTTCAGTCAGCGACAGGGAGTTGACTTCTTCTAGACCTTCTCCCCCACCCCGAAGATGACCACTCTTTGTGAGCTACTGCATGTCGCCGCTCAGCATGACTACGAGCTTCACTCTCTGGACTTCAGCACAGCCTTCTTACATGGTAGTCTACACAAGGAGATCTGGCTGCGCCGCCCACCTGGCTTCACTGGGTCTTTCCCTCCTAGTACCCAGTGGAGCCTCCGTCGGCCGGTCTACGGTCTCCGCCAGGCGCCTCGTGAGTGGCACGACACACTAAGGACGACGCTTGCGGCTCTTGGGTTCGCCCCTTCCACTACTGACCCGTCGCTGTTTCTGCGCACCGACACTTCGCTGCCGCCGTTCTACATCCTCGTGTACGTCGACGACTTGGTCTTTGCCACTGCTGACACAGAGGCTCTCGCCCTGATGAAGACGGAGTTGCAGAAGAGACACACGTGCACAGACCTGGGTGAGCTGCGCAGTTACCTTGGCTTGCAGATCACCCGGGACAGAGCACGCCGCACCATCACACTGACTCAGTCACACATGGTGCAGCAGGTCCTTCAGCGCTTCGGCTTCACATGGTCCTCGCCACAGCCCACTCCTCTGGCTACAGGCCACTCGCTCTCTGCTTTACCTTCGGACGAGTCCGTAGAGCCGAGTGGTCCGTACATAGAGCTAGTGGGCTGCCTCATGTACCTGATGACCTGGACTCGACCTGACCATGCGTACCCTCTTTGCCTTCTGGCTCGCTACGTGGCTCCTGGTAGGCACCGAAAGGTGCACATGGATGCTGCTAAGAGGGTGTTGCGCTACTTGTGCAGTACATCGGGCATGGGGCTCGTGCTTGGAGTGCGGAGCCCAGTTGTCCTTACTGGGCACTCAGACTCGTCTTGGGTTGACGATCTGGCCACGCAGCGGTCGTCACAGGGTCACACGTTCAGCCTTTGCTCTGGCTCTATTTCATGGCGGTCTACACGTTCGTGTTCTGTTCTCAGCTCCAGTTGTGAGGCTGAGATCAACACCACAGTCATGGCTACACAGGAGCTACGCTGGCTCACCTACCTGCTGCCCGACTTGAGAGAGCGGCCTTGTTCTCCTCCAAATCTGTACGTAGACAACAAGGCCGCCATTTCCTTGTGTCAGGAGCACAGACTGGAGCACAGACTGGAGCACAGACTGGAGCACATAACGAAGCATATCGCTCTGCATTACTTCCTTGCTCGAGAGTTGCAGCAGCGTGGTCAGCTTCGTCTTGCTCACGTGGCCACTCAGGCCAACACTGCTGATATATTCACCAAGGCACTTTTGTCGGGTGATCATCAGCGCTTTTGTTCTTTGTTAGGCCTTGTGCCTATGTTTCCTCACTTGCGTTAGACTTTGCTTTTACTGTGACCTATATATATATATATATAGATATACATGCTGCTTGTTCTTGCTAGGTAGTGATCACTTTGCTGTTGTTGGTATATATTACCCTCTACATGTTAATTGGCCTTGTGGCCCTTTGCTTTTGCTCAGTGTGTATGGTGACGTTGTGATCCACCCTGAGCCTGCTAGTTGTTTCTGACATGCTAAGCGTGCTAGCGCATACCGCAGCCCAACGCGCCCTGCTGCTCAGCGCGCTAGCGCACCCCACTACGAAGCGCGCCAGCGCGCCCCGCAGCTACGCGCGCCAGCGCGCCCCGCTGCTAAGCGCGCCAGCGCGCCCCGCAACCCTAAATAAAAATAATTATTATTATAAAATTCAAAAAAAAAAAAAAACGCTTGTGTGCCCTATTGCCCAGCGCGCTGCTGCTGCATACGCTGCTACTGCTGCGCTGTGCCCTGCCGAGCAGCGCTGCCGAGGCTGAGCCACGCCGCCCAGTCCGAGCCGCCCTCCTGCTACTACTGCTGCTGCTGCTGCTCGTCCTACTGCTGCTGCTAGAGGTGCTGCTGGGAGTGCTGGAGGAGGTGCTGTTGGTGCTCTAGGTGGTGGACCTGCTACTTACCGTCACTGCCTGTCATGGCCACTATCACGGTAGTTGCAGCGGCTAGAGGTGGACAGCAGCTGTCATTGCCTCTCCCGGACGACCCCACCCCTTAGCAGTTTTGTAAGTGGGTTTTTCAGCGATGTAGTCCTGGTGGTGGAGGCTTAGGTTTTATGGGTACTACACAGCGGCGGCAGCAGCGTCCGCAGAGCACCTTCTCCCTGCAGCGGCCTCGCGACTGTGCTTCTCAGCGGTGCGTCCCTGGTTGTGTAGAGGCTGGTGCTCTAGGTGCTAGTTAGTCTGTTGTCGCTCCAGGTGCTAGTGAGTCCGCTGCAGCTCTAGGTGCTCGTGAGTCTGCCGACGCTCTAGGTGCTAGTGCGTCTACTAACACAGGTCCTGCCTCAGCTGAGGCCTTGCACACTTTTACGCTTGACTCAGGCGCGTTACGTTGCTTCTTTTGTGATTGCACCACAGTCACACCACTCGCAGCACCTCTCCCAGTCTAACTGGTTGACCCCACTGGGGGGCCCAGTAGTTGCGCAAGCCTCTACTATCCTCCCGTGTCCGACAGTCCCCTTCGGGTCTCTCTCAGGTCTCCACTTCCCCACGTTCTCAATGAACTTGTTGAGCAACGGAGTTCTCCAGGATGCATGGGTTGACACCTTCATTCGTGGAGAACAGCGTGTGGCAATCTGTAAGTGCTCACGGATTGGCCGTCACCTTGCTACGTTCACTCGTCAGCCTGTGTCCAGCCTGTACACACTGACCACCGCGTCTGCACAGGTGGCTGAGTCAGGTCAGGTGACTGTCTCTGGTCAGCTTGCAGCGCCTTGCTCGTGTCGGGTACCCTCTCACCAGACTCTCCTCTGGCACCACCGCCTCGGTCACCTCTCGTTGCCGCGTCTCCATACCATGCACTCCTGTCTCCTTGTCTCTGGCCTTCCCATGTCCCTGCCCTCCCTACAGCGCTCGCCTGCACCGCCGTGCCTTCCCTGCATTGAGGGGCGATAGCGTGCCGCTCCTCACTCCTTCGAGTTTCCTCCGACCACTACTCATTTGCAGACTCTCCACACGGACGTTTGGGGCCCGGCCCTCGTCGGTGGAACGGACCAGGAGCGCTACTTCCTGCTGGTTGTTGACGACTACATACGCTACACCACTGTCTTCCCCTTGCGGCGCAAGACGGACGTCAGCGGTGTTTTGATCCCCTGGATCCGTGCTACTCGTTGCCAGCTGCGCAAGCGGTTTCGTCGGGACTTCCCAGTTCTACGTCTGCACTCTGACAGGGGCGGTGAGTTTGCTTCTGACCTCCTTGCGGAGTTCTGTCGAGACGAAGGCATCCGCTAGTCGTTCACGCTTCCGGCCTCTCCTCAGCAGAATGGGATTGCTGAGCGTCGCATTGGCTTGATCATGGAGATTGCTCATGCCTCCATGATCCATGCGGCTGCTCCCCACTTTCTGTCGCCGTTTGCGGTCCGATACGCTGCGCATCAGCTCAACCTCTAGCCCCGTGTCTCTAAGCCAAAGACCTCGCCCACACTCCGGTGGACGGGGAAGGTTGGCGATGCGTCGGTGTTTTGGGTATGGGGCGCGCTCTCCTTAATTTGCAATGCCAAAGCGAGCAATCTCTCCTCTCGCCAGGGCTGACTATTCAAAAAAATCCAGTCTGATGTTCTGGGGGCTCTGAAAAAAATTAGTCTAAGGCATATTTCCCAGAAAATGGCTACTCTGATTTTTCAGGTTCCGCAAAAACACAAGTCTGAAGTACTCAGAACACACTACAACCACTGCAGCACGACATTGCCACGAATGTAGCACCTGGGGCGCAGCGCTAACCGACTTTGCTGCGCCAGCACAGAGTTTCCCTCACTGACACCGCATAGCTGCAGTGATGGTCCCGTGTGAGTGAAAGAGCGAGCCAAGTTGGCAGATTTCAAAGGGAAAAGGGTGGCAAAAGTTGCCAAGGACAGATTCTGTGCGTGACAGCACCAGGCCCTACGATATCAGGAATTTTACCCTGAAATTCCTGATTTTCAGGGTTTTTTTTTTACCTACCCTGAAAATCCAGTGTTCAGCTTTTCCTAGGGCTGATTTTTCAGCCTTCACATGCCACATGACTCTGAACTTTCAGCAATTTTTTTGAAGTGACACTGATGCCTTTACGTTGTAACGAGTTTGACCCTGAAAGCGAATCCTACTAGGTACGAGTGTACTTGACCGGAAGTACTGGGAAAATCAGATTCCCGCGGTGTCAGCAGGGCCTGTCGTTGACTATCGGACAATTTTGCCCACACTGATGGCCCCTTAGTTGGCGCGCCTGGTCCGTTCATTGGCCACATTTGCAACATTAAGTGACTTGACCAATTACAAGGTTGCAGCACAGAGATGCTGGCAGGCTGCGCTGCGAGGGATTCTGGCGGTCTAGGTCGTGCTGGCAAGCACTGATGCATCCACGCCTCCCAGCCGTGCTACCTGCCATCCAGCCTCACATCCCGTTCTGCTGTTTGCTTCCTTCCTAGTGTTTTTACTACTAGTAAAATAAAGACTACCGTACTAGTATCAGCCTTTTTCAGTAGGGAACACTGATGTATCAGACTTTTTTTTAAGTAACACTGAACTTTCAGGCTTTTTTTTTAGGCGACCCTAACGATCAGGGTCTAGGGGCAGAGGGACCCTGATACCCTTACGTGCCTAAAAGTGAATCTGAGGGCCTGGACAGCACCATGAAGTGTGTTCATACACTGGCAACATATGATGTAGCGGAATGTACGTAGAAATTACAGATCCGCATTTCAGGATCCGTACTCCCTGTAGTTTGAAGACCCATTATCGGCTAAAAACAAGGAAGTCTGAGGTACTGATGTTTGAAAATCTTAAAAGTCTGAAAAATCAGGATCCGTAGGAAAATACCCTGAGATTTCAGACAATCAGACTATGTTAGTCTGATAAAGTCAGCCCTGCCTCTCGCACTCTCCGCTGCGTATTCCTTGGCTTCCCTACCGACGCCCCGCCGTGGCAATTCTACCACCCGCGCTCGCGTCGCGTCTTTTCCTCCCAGGACGTCACCTTTGACGAGTCTGTCTGTTACTACAGGCTACACCCGTGCGCGTCCCACCCGGTCCCCCTCTCGCCTCTCTTCCTGGTACCAGTCCCCCCCCCCGGTAGACCTCCTCAAAGTGTACCTGTGTTCTCTCTAGGCTATAGTGAGTACCTACAAGGGGTGCAACACTTTAGGGTTAGTACTTGTACCCAACTCCTTCATAGTTCATTCATTCCTGCACAGTTGATTGTGACACCAACATACACTACAATCAAGGGGTTTCAGGGTGGTTTACCCTGATATGTGAGAACATTCTCACGACCATCCGGTGCTTGCCAGGTGTCCCGAGTCTTCCGCAGCCAGTGAGACGAGCACGGGGCGGAAGGCAGAGGAGGCGGGGCAGCGCATGAGCAGCAGCACTCGTACGGAAGGAAGAAGCGCGGCAGAGGGCGAGGTGGTGGAGATGGAGGGGATGGTGGAGAGGGAGGGGATGGTGGAGGAGTACTGGCGGCACGCAGCTGCGTGCAAGGCTGATGCTCGCACACACCCAAGCGACACTCGGCTCTTGCTGCTCCGCGCCATGCAATGGGTGTTGGGGGATGCGTTGGGAGGTAGATGGAGAGGAAAGGGTGAAAGGGCAAACTTGCAAACCTTCCCTCCCCAAACAAGACATCTGATTAGCTACCTCGACCCAATTGTCACCACCATTCACACTCCACTGCTACCCTCCCTTGCCCAACCCCTCCCTCTACTCCCTCCACCCCCACACTCCCCCCACCTCCCTCAATACACCGACCTTCCCTCAAGCAATGCCCCCCCTGTCCACATGGCCTCACCTGCCTCGCGGTGCTGCACTCGTCACAAACCCAACCACTTCCCTAATCCCGCGCCTTGTCCCCCCACACCATTGACCCCCTCCCCTGGCTCCGTCGCCCTCCTTCCTCTGCAGCCCCTCTGTCTCCCTCAAGCTCGCCACATATTGCTCTTCCTCTGTGCCTCGCCGCCTCTCCCTCTGCTTCTGCTTCTGCACCTGCCGCTTCGTCTTCCGAGCCATGGCAACAGGTACGGAGCCGAGCCTGGTGCGGAGGAGAGAGGGAGGGAGGACAACTCCACGCCAGGCAGAGGCACGGACGCTGCCAGGGTAGACGGGCAGAGGCGGTAGTTGGAGGGGAAGGGCAAGAGCAAGAGTTGGGCCTAGGCGCAGGGGACTGGCACGAGGTGAGTGAACGCTCACAGCAGATCCGACGAGGATAGAGAAGATTGGAGTGGCACAGAGAGCACGCACATGGTGCACCCATGCTTACACATGCACACGTGGCACGTTTTATACGCATGGACATGCACATTTCTAATCATGCATGGACAAGCACACGTGGCACCTGTGCAAGGAAGGACCCACCCGTGCACAGAAGCCCCATTGCGTCGGAAGCAGAAGCGGTGGAAGTCTTGAGGCGACGGCACACACAGCTCTGCTGCTGCCTGCGCTGCCCCCCTGCCCGCCGGCACCACTCGCACCGCCACCATGCACGTCCCCTGCTGCTCATGCTGCCGTGGTGGCGCTGCGGTGCTTGAGAGCGCATGGAGGGGCAGTGGTGGGCATGCCGCAGGCGAGTCCACATCCATTGCCATGCCCACGCTCCCCCCTCCATGCCCATCCGCCACACATGCCCCACCAGCAGCATCAGCCCCTCTCTCCTCCCATGTGGTCGACCCTCTCTCCCTCTCCCCCACTCGCCTCCACTCCACACTCACCCGTGAGCCATGCGCCCCGCCCACCCGTGAGCCATGCGCCCCGCCCACCCGTGAGCCATGCGCCCCGCCCACCGCTCCCAGCTTCCACCCACCTCCTCCACTGCCCGCCTGCCCTGCGTGCCCTTTCCCGCCCTGGTCTGTGACACGCCCATCCACCCATAATCCCCTGCCGCCCCCCCCCTCACCGTCAGCAGCATCCCCGTGAGCAGCAGCACGAGAGCCGTGGCGCAGAGCAGCAGGCAGCAAGGCAGAGAGCGCGCGAGCAGAGCAGCGCGCCACCCTCAAGTCCATGTCCGCCTCTGCCTCCCCTCCACCCCCTTCTCTCCCTTCCCCCCCGTCTCTCCCTCTCTCTCCTCCTTCCCCCGCCCCTCCCCACGCGCCAGAAGCAGCAGCCCAAGCAGGCGGCAGGGGGGGGCACAGAGGGCGCTTGGAGGGTGGTGTGCGGTCATAGCGGGCGCGCTGCAGCAAATAGGAGGCTGCCACGTGGCACCTGTAGCCGAACGTCTCAGAGTAGTCGTAAGGAAAGAGAGGCAGACCCGCCTGTGCAAGAGAGGAGGTTGATAAGAAGGGGATCGGGGGGATAAGAGGGGGATTAAAGGGCAGTTACAGGGGGAAGAGAGGCAGAGAACGGGAGAGACATGTATTGGTTGGAACATATAAAGGAGAACAGGTGACTTTACTGCTGTGAAGAGCGACTCACCGCTGTGAAGAGCGACTCACCGCTGTGAAGAGCGACTCACCGCTGTGAAGAGCGACTCACCGCTGTGAAGAGCGACTCACCGCTGTGAAGAGCGACTCACCGCTGTGAAGAGCGACTCACCGCTGTGAAGAGCGACTCACCGCTGTGAAGAGCGTGTGCCTCTCGGCTAGCCCGATGGCATGTGCACCGTGCAGGATGAACGGGTACCAGCACACCTGCAGCCACTCGGATGGCACGATGACCGACCACCTGTGATGAGAGAGAGTCAAGGGGAAAAAGCGAGAGAGGAGAGGGGAGAGGGCGTGGAGGTTGGACAGGGGGGGATGAAGAAGCACACAGCATCACAGGCTTCCCAAGTCCCACGACTGTACATCTCCTGCCCACCCTCACCTTCCCCTCCCCATCTTTCTACACCATCCTGCCATTCGTCTCACTATCCCTTTCCTCGCTATCACCCCGCAGCACCAGGAGCGCGCCTCACCACACCTGGTCACGGCAACACCACACCTGGTCACGGCAACACCACACCTGGTCACGGCAGCACCCTGCATGGCACCGCACCCATGCTTCACCACCACCACATCACACCCTGCCTGCTCTCCACACACCTCTCCTCCACACGCCCCATCTCCTCCTCCCCGCCCCTCCCCACCACTCCCCCCCTCCCCTCTGCCCGCCTGCCACTGCACCCACTGCCCCGCCACGCTCTCCCCCATGCGCTGTGCCTCCCGCGCCCCCATCAGCCCCTGCAGCTTGAGCGCGCGGCGCCACGCATCCAGCAGGCGCTGGGGGGGCGGGGCGGAGAGGGGGAGAGGGGTGGTGCTGGTCACAGCGGCTGCTGTGCCTCTCACCTCTCCTCCTCGCTGCCCTCCCACACCTTCACGCGTCTCCGCCCTCTCCTCCCCACTATCACCCATTGTCAGCCTCGCCTCCTCTTCCGCCTCCCATGCGTCATGCATTTCCATGTGTGACTCATTGCCCCCCCCCCTGCGTGCCCCATGCTCCCCCCGGCAGCGTGCTGCCCTGTGCTGCTCTCTCGGAATCCACAGAGTGGGAGCAGCGGCAATGGACGCCCCATCCACCGATCCTGCCACATCTCTCCACCAATCGAAACACAGACCACCCTTGTGTAACACATCAGCACTCCCAGTGTGCTGTCCATGAGAAGAGCCTATCCGCCCTCCAGGCGCCCCACCAGCTACCCCACCAGCCTCCCTCCCCCTGCCTGCCAGCAGCCGCGCGTCCACCGCTCTCAACCCCACCACGGCCCCACCAGGGAGGTGCGCCCCCTGCTCTGCCAGCACCTTCCAGGACGCTTCTGACTGCTGCAGGCGCGCTGATGCTGCAGCGGACGAGGCAGAGCGGCCAGCAGGCGAAGCAGAGGTGGGGGCAGCAGGGGAGGCAGAGGCGGCAGGGGCAGCAGCAGCAGGGAAGGGTAGCGGCAGCAGCACGGGGGAGAGGGTGTTGAAAGGGGCGGAGGGGCGCAGCACGGAGAGCAGCAGGGGGAGGGCAGCTCGCCCCGCCACCTCCAGCCGACACAGCTCGCCCTCACGACTCTCCACACTCACCCGCCTCCGCCTCCACCCTTTCTGCTCGCTGCTGCTCTCCTGGTCCAGCTGCTGACTGGCGGCTGTGAGGGCGGCCAGGGCGTCGGGCAGCATGAGGGCATGCACCCACACCCACACGCACCTCTGCCGCCGCTGCTCCTGCTTGCGCCGCCCCTGCTTCTCTCTCCGCCGCTGCTTCCATCCAAACCCCTCGTCCTTTTGCCCTCCCTTCACCTCCCCACCGCCTCTCTCTCCCCCGCCACCCTGACCGCTAGCAGCACCAAGGACAGCGGTGGCACCCGGCGCACGAGCGGTGGCACGAGGCGCACGAGCAGCACCATCACACCCTTGCTCTGCCGCACACGCCACTGCCTGCCACATGAAACTGGCCGGACCAATCACGTCGCTGCTGCTGGTATCACTCGACACGGAGCAGAGCTATTCGGATGGGGACGAAGGGAGACAGTGGAGATGGGAGACAAGACAGAGGAGATGGGGGACAGTGGAGATGGGGGACAGTGGAGATGGGGGACAGTGGAGATGGGGGACAGTGGAGATGGGGGACAGTGGAGATGGGGGACAGTGGAGATGGGGGACAGTGGAGATGGGGGACAGTGGAGATGGGGGACAGTGGAGATGGGGGACAGTGGAGATGGGGGACAGTGGAGATGGGGGACGGGTGAGGTTGTGCAGGAGAGAGGAGGTGTGGGATGCGGGAAAATGAGGAGGATGATGGTGACGCTTGGATTGTTGGGGGGTGGAGGATGAGGCATGCTCACGCAGACTGCCGTGCCAGTTGAGGTATCACGGGCACAGAAGAGCCGCAAGGTGTAACACGCAGTGGCTGCCACATATAAAGGTCAAAGTGGTAAATGCTGTAGCATGTAAGGCTATCAACCCACAGCAATGCAATCACAGAGCTAGAAAGAGCCACCACGGCAGTCACAGTCTCACCACACCTGCCTCCCCCTCCCACCACACGTGCCCCCCTCTCTCACCAGCGCTCTCAGCTCCAGCACTCCCCGCCTCCATGCCTCCCCCCGTGCCGCCTCACCCGCCCCTCCATCACCCCTGTCTGTGCGTGCAGCATGCGCCGTGTGAGGGGTGGCAGGCGCGGGGCGAGAGGCGAGGGGGAGTGCGCCTGGGGAAGTGCAGCAGGCGAGCAGAGCGGAGATGTCCGCCTGGGCGGGGGGAGGGGTGGTGGATGAATGGACGGGTGCATGGGAGGGGAATGGGTAGACAGAAGATTTTCTGGGTGAGAGGAAGAAGGGAAGTTGAAGAGAGAGCAGGAATCAGAGACACAACGCGCCACAGAAAGAGGGCAAAAGGGAAAGAAAGGAAAGGGGGTTGGGGGAGGGCGGGAGGCAAGTGAACCGCCTCGTGGCTTCCACAGCTGCCATGCCGCATGCCGCCTGTCCGTCTGTGCCTGCTGCTGCGCTACACACCCTGTCACGCACGCACGCAGTGGTCACCAGGGAGGCTGTGGGGGACAGGCGAGCAGCCTGACATGCATTCTGAAACAGCAGAGTGGCAAACTTCTGACTCATGGTGGGAAGTGCGACATGGTGGGAAGTGCGACATGGAACAGCAAGCTAGCAGTGGGCAGCCCACCTGCGCGCCAGTGAGCTGGATGGCGGAGTGGTACGACGCGTCGTGCAGCACGGCCGCCCTGCCCACCGCCTCCACCACCGCCCGGCTGCCACGGCCCCTGCACGCGCAGGGAGGGGCGACAGGGGCGAGAGACGGAACGAACTGGTAAGTGAGTAGACAGGGGATGGGACAAGGAATGGAGCAGTGGCGCGAGCACGGGGCATGATGGATGCTCTGTGCTGCACCGCACATGTCATCATGCGGCCGCACCTGCCATGCAGCCTCGATGCCAGCCTGTAACCCCACGTGTCCACCATGTGGAATCGCTTTGCATGCCACATGTGACTCGCCACCCGCCTCGCCCTCCCGTGGCTCCCCCCTTCGTTCCACGCCCGCCCTCCCCCCACCCCCTGCTTCACCCGTTTCGCCTGCGCCCATCTGCGCACTCGCCTGCACGCCTTGCCTTCTCCTTCCGTCTCCCCTTCCCCCCACTCTCTTGCATCCTTCTGCGCCTCCCCTCCCTCCTCCTCCTCCGCGCCCCGCGTCCCGCTGTCCACGTGTCCCTCCAGTGCCGTGACCTTGACGCGCTTTCGGCGAACCTGCCCCGCGACCACTCGCGCCAAGCCCCCGCGCCCTCGTCGCAGGTCCTCACGTGCATCGCCCGCCCCGCTCGTTCCGCCCACCCCCTTCGTTCCGCCCGCCCCGCTCTTTCTGGCTCCCCCGCGCCGCACGAAGCTGCTGGTCCGTCGGATCAGGTGCCGCGGCGTGCCGTGCCTCACGGCCACTCGATCGCGCCGTCGCCGCGCGCCCCACTCGCGCCGCCCCACCACGCGACGCCCCTCGCTTCCTCCTCCGCGGCCTTCCGCCGCATCTCCCGCCGCACTATCCGCTCGGCCGTTCCGCTCCCCGCGTGGGTCGGCCCCAGGCGCATTGGCGGCAGCGCCGACCGTTGGGGCGCGCGCGCGGTCGAGCGCGGCGTAGAGGGCGGCGAACTCCGACGAGCGCGCCGCCGCGAAGTCCCTCACGCGCACGCGGTGAGGCAGCATGCGGAGAGCGGAGGGTGGGGAAAAGGGAGGGACGGTGTAGAGCCGGGATTCTGGCGTGTGAGCCCTTGGCAACTGCGCTGTGGTATTGACTGGTCTGGGAGACGCGGGTGTGTGCGCAATGTGTGCGCGCGGGGCGAAGAAACGGTTCAGCAGATGTGGTGGCGCGAGCAGACGATCGCCCTGCTTTGGTCCATTGGCATCACCCCTTGCGCATGATTCCTGGTAATGCCATTACATGTTCGCTCGCAAGATCACAATTTGATCACTATTTGACTCGGGGTGGCGTGGGGTGAGCGGACTAGTCGTTAAAGTGGAATGGGCCCGACGCGACGCGCGGACGTCGAAGACGCATGGCCGGCAACGTACAGGGAGGCTCCCTGTTCAAACTACACGATCGTTAGACGGACCGCCTCGCGCCACGCCACTGCTCTGATGCTGTACGCTCTGCGCCTCCCACTGCTCTATAGCGGGGTAGACTGAACGGTGTGGACGTTGTTGGAAATCAAGCCATGCAGACAAGCACTGGCCGCGGAATTTTCTCGACATTAGTGCATCCTGCAACACAGCGTAGAGCAGCAGCCGTTGTTCGCCCGTTACTGCTAACGGGGCTTCGCCGACTTCGCGCACACTGTTTTCACCAAACCATGCACCGCTGGCCCGGCCGTGTCGGCCTACACTTCGAGACTAGCCCGAGCCTCGATGCCAGCCTAGCACTAGCTAGCTCGCACGTGTTACCGTTTGCATGTTTCGCGTATAAATGTTTGCTCATGCCTTCGCTCACATTGTGTACTCGTTTGACACTTAATGCAATCCTCGATACCTCGATTCATTGCACCTGTAACACTTAGTATTCAAAGCCTCTTTCTTTTCGGACCGCGCATCTCCGCACCCCAGGAAATCAACTTTTGATTTTTTCACTTGAAGGGACTCACGCACCTTAGCCTCCAGGAGCTGCTGTCCTCGCGTTCTCTCGTAAACGCGTGCAGCCACGACTGCGCCTAGACTAAGTCGAGCCGACACCCTTCGTAATGGCCGAACACATCGATGCCACGACACTCACGCAGAACCGCCTGGACGAGCTGCTGCGACAACTGCACAAAAACTCAGAAGAAATCGCGGCGCTGACGGCGGAACGCACTTCCCTGCAGAACGATGTCGCACGAGCACAACAAGCACAATCACAAGCATCCGGCACTCCGGTACAACCCGCACCACAGGCATCGCAACACGGAAGTGTGGGGCAACCCGCGAGCGTGGCCAGTGATGGCGTCGTCCGCCACGACGGAGACTGTCAGAACATTATAGCTTATACATTAGTGTAGGCTGTAGTGGGGTAGCCCATAAGGGGTACAACCCAATTAGGATTAGTACTTGTACCCAACTCTTTCATAGTCCAATCATTCTCGTTCTCTTTTCTCATGGTATCGAGCAGGTTCCCTGGTGGGAACTGTTCCTAGGGCCCACAGACTTTTTTTTCCTGCTCGGGACGTGTCCCGCCCCTGCCCGAAGCGCGCTTAGGGTCGCGCCTGTCAGAACATTATAGCTTATGCTTTTGTGTAGGCTGTAGTGGGGTAGCCTATATGGGGTACAACCCAATTAGGGTTAGTACTTGTACCCAACTCTTTCATACTGCATTCATTCTCGTTCATTCTCACATGGTTTCAGAGCACATATGCTCCTGGCCTGTGGGCCCTACTACTGCTTCCGCTGCTACTCGATCTGTCGCACGCCCCTTTGGCGCGCGGCGATTTTCTCTCTGGCGCGCGGCCCCGTTCCTTCTAGGCGCGCCACTCCCCGCTACCCCGTCGCGGCCCCATCTCGTCGCGCCGCCCTAGCGGCCGCGTCGCGCCGCCCTCGCGGCCCCGATCCGCCGCCCTAGCGGCCCCGTCACCTACCCCTGCGGCCCCGGCGCCGCCCATCCCGGCCCCGGCTCCGCCCTTCCTGGCCCCGGCGCCACCTCGGCTGGCCCCGTCGCCTACCCCGGCGACCCCGACGCCGCCCTTCCCGACCCGGCCCCGCCTCTGCTGGCCCCGTCGCCTGCCCCTGCGGCCCCGGCTCTGCCCTTCCTGGCCCCGGCGCCACCTCGGCTGGCCCCGTCGCCTACCCCGGCGACCCCGACGCCGCCCTTCCCGACCCGGCCCCACCTCTGCTGGCCCCGTCGCCTACCCCTGCGGCCCCGGCGCTGCCCTTCCCGGCCCCGGCGCCACCTCTGCTGGCCCCGACGCCGCCCTTACCGGCCCCGGCGCCGCCTCTACTGGCCCCGTCGCCTACCTCTTCGGCCCCGGCGCCGCCCTTCCCGGCCCCAGCGCCGACTCTGCTGGCCCCGTCACCTACCCTGCGGCCCCGGCGCCACCTCTGCTGGCCCCGTCGCCGCTCCACCTGGCCCCGCCGCCGTCCCCAAGCGGCCCCGCCGTCACCACCGAGCCGCCGGCGCTGCCGAGCTGCTACCGAGCCGCCCGAGCCGCCGGGTCGCCGAGCCGCCGAGCTGCAGTTGCTGCCGAGCCGCCGTACCGCCGAGCCGCCCGAGCCGCCCGAGCCGCCCGAGCCGCCCGAGCCGCCGAGTCGCCGAGCCGCAGTTGCCGCAGAGCCGCCCGAGTCGCCCGAGCCGCCGAGCCGCAGTTGCTGCCGAGCCGCCGTGACGTCGAGCCGCCCGAGCCGCCCGCACCGCCGATTTGCCGAGTCGCCGAGTCGACGAGCCTGCTCTTCCCACCACTAGTGAGCCCCTGCCCTGCTAGCGCACTGCCCGCCGCTTGCTTACTTGCCTGCCTGCCTGGCTGCCTGCCTTACTGCTGCTACTCCTGCTCCTGCTTCTACTGGCGGAGCCAGATGCAGCCCCAGCGACGTCCGCGTACGTCCCTCACGCCCCAGCAGCTGCGTGAGTGGTACGCTGGTTGGGGTTGTAGGGGTGGCGGCACTGCTACTGCTACCACTACTGCTGCTACTACTACTGGCGGCGCCCAGATGCAGCTCCAGCGACGCCCACGCGCTTCTCTCACGCCTCAGCAGCTTCGTGAGTGGTACGCTCAGAGTAGAGGGTCTCTCAGTTCTGTTCGCTGCTCTTACGTGATTCGCACTGGTGCTCGGACTGGTCAGCCTTGTGGGACACCTAGTCACACACAGTCCCGCTGCTTCGCCTCTCTGAGCGACGCCTGGCGTACCGAGTTTGGCAACGAGGCTGAGCTCCCCGACTGGGTGGAGTTGCTTAGGCAGAGGGTAGATATATTTGCTCTTGACTATGATGCTATTCTCACTGCCATGTATGCATTGCCTACTAGTGCTGACCGTGCCGGTCACCTGTGCGTACCGCCTGACCCGGGTATAGAGCCTGCTGCTCTAGCTGCTGGTGAGGCTGCTGCTCTGGGTGCTAGTGAGTCTCCTGCTCCAGGTACAGGTGCGGCTGCTGCTCTAGGTGATAGTGAGTCTGCTTCCTCAGGTGCGGGTGAGTCTGCTCTCTCAGGTACCGCGTCAGCTCCGGCCGAGCCAGATGCAGCTCCAACGACGCCCACGCGCGTCTCTCACGCCCCAGCAGCTTCGTGAGTGGTACGCTCAGAGTAGAGGGTCTCTCAGTTCTGTTCGCTGCTCTTACGTGATTCGCACTGGTGCTCGGACTGGTCAGCCTTGTGGGACGCCTAGTCACACACCGTCCCGCTGCTTTGCACGTCTGAGCGACGCCTGGCGTACCGTGTTTGGCGACGAGGCTGAGCTCCCCGACTGGGTGGAGTTGCTTAGGCAGAGGGTAGATATATTTGCTCTTGACTATGATGCTATTCTCACTGCCATGTATGCATTGCCTACTAGTGCTGATCGTGCCGGTCACCTGTGCGTACCGCCTGACCCGGGTATAGATCCTGCTGCTCTAGCTGCTGGTACGGCTGCTGCTCTGGGTGCTAGTGTGTCTCCTGCTCCAGGTACAGGTGCGGCTGCTGCTCTAGGTGCTAGTGAGTCTGCTTCCTCAGGTGCGGGTGAGTCTGCTCTCTCAGGTACCGCGTCGGCTCCGGCCTCTCACACCTTCACCCTTGACTCGGGGGCTTCCCGCTCCTTCTTTCGAGACTGCACCACACTCACGCCGCTTGGTCGGCCAGTTGCAGTCTCTCTGGCAAACCCCTCTGGGGGCCCTGTCCTTGCTCACTTCTCCACTGTCCTCCCATGTCCGGCGGCCCCCTCTGGCACCTTGTCTGGTCTTTACCTCCCCTCGTTCTCTACGAACTTGGTGAGTGGTGCTGACCTGCAGGATGCGGGGGTTCACCAGTTCACTCCTGCGAGTCAGCGGGTGACCCACTGCACGGACGCTCGGACAGGCCGACACCTGGCCACGTTTACTCGTCGGTCGGGGTCGAGCCTGTACTCACTGACCACTGCGTCTCCTCCAGTTGCTGAGCCTGGTAGGGTAGC